CGCGCCCACAGTGTATAGCGTTGTGGATCGAGTCCTCATTTGCATCCGAGTCCTGATCGAACTGATCTGGATCTTAAGCTCAAGCTGCCTGAGCACAAAGTAGCTGCCCCAGAGCTAATTGACAGGTGGACATGCCAGGAGGACGCGACGCGAAACGTCCCAAGGGACGCGCCAGGCAACGTGCCAGGGGACGCGCCATGGGGACGCACCGCGGGACGTGCCAAGGGGACACACTACGGAACGTGCCAATGGATGTGCCGCGGGATGGACGCGCCGCGCGACGTGCCAGGGGGACTCGCCACGGGGACGCGCCGCGCGACGTGCCACAGGGCATTGCAACCTGGCGCGTCCCTTGACGAGAAAGGAAGCGCCAGGTTGCAATGCTGAATGTATCGATCTCGATGTGCCGTGCCGAAGGCTGTACTGTGCCTGGGCGACCTGGACACGTGAAAATAAGCGTTTCGCTCAAGACATTCTCGTCACATCCTCATGCTAAACATCCGCCTGGCAACCTGGACACGTGCAAACAAGCGTCTCGCTCGAGACAGCCTCAACAAATCCTCATGCTAGACATCTGCCTGGGCAACCTGGACGCGTGAAACCAAGCGTCTCGCTCGAGCCATCCTCAAGACCTGGGTACGTGAAAACAAGCATTTCACTTAAGAGATCCTCTGAACTCTAGTCCCGAGGAGACGGAGAATCTAGAACACAAAACAATCGTTTCGCTCGAGACATCCTCAACAACATTCTGCAAAACAAGCGTTTCGCTCGGGACATCCTCACCTTTAGATTAGCCGGCCCTCTTCGACCTTGGTGTTTAACGCAAAATAACTCGCTGGCCCTGGTCGAACTTCGCACCGGGGGACAGATTGACTTACGAAAAGAAAACCCTGGGCTCGTGCCCTTTCCGGCACCAGTGCCACACACACTCTGCCTTCAAATTCGGAGCATGCGCAGGAAAACCAAACGCGCCCTCCCCCACCATCCCTCTCAAAAAGCTATACAAAGTACACGTTGGAGCAAAGTCTGGAGTCATGTTTGTGAGGCCCGCGGGCACTTTGATTTTGAAGGGGACGTCGGGGGTGTCAGCATATTTCCTGCTGAGCGCAGGGCTACCATCCCTGACGAAAAACCATACAAAATGCACCTCGCGGCTATGTCTGGATCATGCGCGGCCACCCCAGAGCTAATTGACAGGGGGACATGCCAGGAGGACGCGCAGCGGAACGTCTCAAGGGACGCGCCAGGCGACGTGCCAAGGGACGCGCCATGGGGACGCACCGCGGGACGTGCCAAGGAGACGCTGCCAATGGACGCGCCACGGGATGTGCCAGGGGGACTCGCCAAGGGACGCCCCACGGAACGTGCCAAGGAACGTGCCAGGTTGCAATGCTGAGTGTATCGATCTTGATGTACCGTGCCGAGGGCTGTGCTATGCTGCGCCGTGCTGAACTGCGATGTGCCATGCCGCGATTGTGCTCTATTGCGTTGTGGATCGAGTCCTCCTTTGCGTCCGAGTCCTGACCGAACTGATCTGGACTTTAAGCTCGAGCTGCCTGAGCACATAACTAGTAGCTGCCCCAGAGCTAGTTGACAAGGGGACATGCCAGGAGGACGCGCCGCGGAACGTCTCAAGGGACGCGCCAAGCGACATGCCAGCGGAGCCATGGGGACGCACCGCAGGACGTGCCAAGGGGACGCTCTACGGAACGTGCTGGGGACGAGCGTTTCGCTCGAGACATCCTGTCAAAATCCTCATGCTAGACATCCGCCTGAGCGACCTGGACACGTGAAAACAAGCGTTTCGCTCAACACATCCTCAACACATTCTCCTGCTAGGCATCCGCCTGGGCGGACTGGACACGTGAAAACAAGTGGTTCGCTCGAGACATCCTCAACACATCTTCATGTGAGACGTCCGCCTGGGTGACCTGGGCACGTGAAAACAAGCGTTTCGCTCGAGAAGTTTTCAGTACATCCTCGTTCTAGCCATCCGCCTGGGCGACCTGTACACGTGAAAGCAAGCGTCTCCCTCGAGACATCCTCAACACATCTTCATGTTAGACAGCCGCCCGGGTGACCTGGACACGTGAAAACAAGCGTATCTCTCGAGACATTCCCAACACATCCTCATGCTAGGCATCCACCTGGGCTACCTGGACACGTGCAAACAAGCATCTCGATCGAGACTTTCTCAACACATCCTCATGCTAGACATCCGCCTGGGCGACGAGGACGCGTGAAACCAAGCGTCTCGCTCGAGATTTCCTCAACAAATCCTGGCGCTAGTGGGCACCCTGGAGGCGTGAAACCAAGCGTCTCGCTCGAGACATCCTCAAGACCTGGGCACGTGAAAACAAGCATTTCACTTGAGAGATCCTCTGCATTCTGGTCCCCAGGAGAGGACACTCTATAACAGAAAGGAAGCGTTTCGCTCGAGACATCCTCAACAACATTCTGAAAAACAAGCGCTTCGCTCGAGACATCCGCAAAAATAATTCCGCCGGCCCTAATTAGGCGACCTCGATATTGATCGCAAATAATCCCGCTGGCCCTACAGTCGTCGATTCCGGGGGCAAACCTCCAAAAGAGAACCCTGGGCCACGCCCTTTCCGGGAACAGTGCGAAGTTCCCTGTGGGGCAAAGTCTGGGGTCATGTTCGTGAGGCCCGCGAGCACGTTGTATTGTTTTTGTCAGGGGCGGCGGGGGTGTCAGCATATTCCCTGAAGGTTGCGGCATTCAGCATGCCGCAGCCCCGCCGTCGGGTGCGCCGAAGAGGGGGTTCCCACGCCATGGCCCGAGGAATCTGCGCCCATGAAATCTGGGAGATCTCATGGCCCTGGCTATGAGATCCACGTACCCACACGCAATCCTCACCCCCCTCTTGGACGCCCCCGACCTCCCCAGACCCCCGACGTCTTGTTTTTGTTTCGTGACGTCGACCCCCAGAGGTCTCGACCCCTTCCCCCGGACTGGCTTTTTATCCTGAATCGTTGTTTGCAGTCCTGAGGCTCGGTAATCGCCCCCCAAAGCCGAACATGGCAGTAACAAAAACGTCCGTCATGATTTGTTCAGTGCGCGAGGGGTTATGGGTCCGTTGGCAGGAAGGAAGCGGGTCCTGAAAGGAAACAGGTTCTGGATCTTTGGGCTTGTCCCCAAGGCCAAATACTCCTCCCGGGAAGGTCAGGTTCGTGTCGTGCCGACTTTGGCGTTGGCTTCTGACACCGCGGGGATCGCTCAACTTTGAACGATCGTCCGTGTCCGAAACGTCCGACTCGTCCCCACATCGACCGACTATGGGTCGCCCGCGGCGTTCAACGTCGAACGCCGCTGGCGGGGTCGCCGCTGGCCGTCACGACACGAACCTGCCGTAATCGTGTTGACGGTCCCGGGACCCGTGGAGGGCCCCCGCTGGGGAGCCCAGAAGCCGCGACAGATCGGGGAAGCCGCGGCGCCCTGTGGCCCCGGGGAGGGCCCAGACCTCCGAGCAGCGGAGAGCTCGGCAGGCCGTGGGCCCCAGTGGAGCTCCAGACGCCCTCCCTGGGGGCCCCTGTGGTTCGACGACACGGGAGCAGTGAGCAGCACTTCCCGAGCGCGATGAGCTGCATGTGGCTGCACCACGCGTGGGGGGCCGCTTGCCGCCCCGCGCAGCACCGGCGAAGCCCTGCGCGGCACGGTGCGCAGCCCGAAGAGAAGGTGAATGCAGGTCTCCGCTCGTCGCCGCGGAGCGTATCCGTAATCTCGCCCGGCGGCGGACAGAGGGGGCCCGACAGAGGCCGACATCGAGGACTGGCGCCGGGATTGAAACACCACATCTCCAGAGATCTGCGGTGTGGGACTCGCCTTCCTGCTGTAACTCATGGGAGCCTCCCATACCATCTCGTTGGCTCTCGCAAATCGACGCTAGTCGACGCTGATGGGCGCTAGATCGGCGCTATCTCCCCGACTACCCGACGCTAACGGACGCCAGTGCGCTCCTAACACGGACTTGCGAGGGTACACGAGGCTCCCATCAGCCGCTGCCGAAGGAAAGGGGCTCCTTCAAGAACATGAGACCCTCCGCCGGCTAAAACAAACAGAACATCCAAGGGCACCCTCCCCAGGGTGCACGAGAACATCCAACAAACACGAAGAACACCAGGGTACCCTCCCCGAACCGACCTCGACCTTCTGCGTCGGACCGACTGTAAGCGACACCGCCACAAACAGAGCAAGGAGCCACGGGGGTGGTGTCGTGGCGCCCCCCCCCCCTCCCCTCCCCCTCCCCCGCTCGCCCGAGGTCCCCCCCCCCTATTCCCGACTCGGGGAGGCACCGTGGACCTCCATCGCTGCATCTTGCCACCGCTCGGGCGCCCATTTCCCGCGAACTGTTTCGCTTTCGTGCGCTTATATATTTTTCGAGAATGGTCCAAGATGTTCCTCCATGGCCCTCGCCGAGGAAAAACACACCCGTCCGAGCGGCATGGAGGTGGGCCCTCTGGTGGTGGTGGTGGTGCCGCCTCGGGCAGCACAGCGGTGTCGTCGTTGTCGTCGCCGTCGTCGCTCGTCGTCGTCGTCTCCGCATGTCGTCCTCTCCGCTCCGGCTTCGTCGTCGCTCGGCGCCGTGGTGGTGGTGCCGCCTCGGACAATACAGTGCCGTCGTCGGTCGCCTCCGAGGGTGCGCCCGCTCGCCCTCCGGGGGGCTGCCGCCCGCGCCAGGACGCCGAGAGACGACTACGACGCCGAACGGCGGCGAGCGACGACGACGCCGAACGACGACGAGCGACGACGACGACGACGACGACGACGACGAACGACGACGACGACGACGCCGCGTGACGACGACGCCGCGTGACGACGACGACGAGCGACGACGAGCGACGACGACGACGAGCGACGACGACGACGACGAGCGACGACGACGACGCTGCCGCGCGCAGCGAGGGCCGCCCCCGGCCCGAGGGCAGCGGCGGGGGTGGGCAGCGGACAGCAGGCAGCTGCGCGCCGCGCAGGGGGGGGGCCTGGGTCGTCTGCGGCGGGCAGGGCAGGGTGAGCACCTCGGGCGCGATGTAGCCGACGCTCTCGACCCTCGGCCGCGCGCGGCGTCGGGTGTTCGTCTCGCCCATCGCTCATAGGCATAGGTCCTTTCCCTGAAGCCTACGCTCCCGACCATCGGCAGCGCGCGGCGTCGGGTGCTCGTCTCGCACATCGCTCATACGACCTTGCCCCTGTGCTGCCCGCTGTCGTGCGCGTGTTTGTTCCGCAAGATGATCCAGGATGCTCCTCGAGGGCCCTCGCCGAGGAGAGAATGCACACGTCCGAGAGATGCCGACTCGTCTATGGGGGGGCATGCTGGGTTGAAGCTCGCTGGAGGGCAGCGAACGCGATCTGGGCTTCTGGGGCGACGGAGGCGGGGGTGATGCTCGCAGGGTCAGAGCAGACCTAAGCAGCCCAGTCGTCGGTAAGAGCAGACCTAAGATCTGAGCTTCTCGCGAATGGGGATCGCAAGGGTTGCTATTGACGGATCAAACGCGCTGGTCGAGCGTATTGAGACCTGGCCCTGGAAACAACGCTGCCCCCCACCCCCCAGCGACCTTCGGTGGCGATATCCGAATCGAACCCCCGCCAATGATCGATTCTCCTGAATCGATGGGGGGCGGGGGTAGGGTTCGGGATTTCGCCGAGTTCGGCAAATTCCAAGCCCTACCCCCGCCGCCCGTCGAGTTGCCTGGATCGTGGATCGGCGAGGGTAGGTTCCGGATTTCGCCGCCGAGGGGGGGCATAAGACGTGACGTGCACCTTTCGCGCACCTCTTGGGCCCGCGGCGGCAATTTAAAGACCATTTGGGGCCACCTTCCTGCGGGCCCCCCCACCCCCCCAGGTATTGCCCCCCCCGTTACAGTCGGACCTGGGCCAGAAGAACATCCTTCAAGAACGTGAGACCCTCCGTCGGCCAGAACAAACATCCAGGGGCACCCTCCCCAGGATGCACGAGAACATCCAACAAACACGAAGAACACGATGTTAACCCCGAACCCACCTCGATCTTGTGCCTCAGTCCGACTGTACAGCCTGCCCGACGGTGGCGGCCCGGAGCAGACGGCGACGGCTCTGGGGAAACCAACAAATACCGATACCTCTACTCCCCGGGCCTCTCCTGGGGTGCTTTCTGACCAGAATCCCGAGGCGAATCCAACGGTGGCAACGAGGGCCTCCGCGGAGGCCGAAACATGCTGGACCCACGAACCCGGAAAGGGATACAGACATGTGAAGTATGGAAACGTTTCGAGACACCTGGATTGGCCGATGGGCAGTAGCAATGATGAATTCATCGATGGTGATGGCACCGTGCCAGAAGCTGCGCTGCGCTGTGCTGTGCCGTGCTGCGAAATGCTGGACGAAACGAAACGCGAAACAGCCCACGAAACGCGCTACGAAGCACCCCGCGGCACACACCCCGAGAAACACTCAACGAAGCACGCTAGGAAACACTCGACGAAACACCCAACGAACAGCCACGAAACACCCTACGAATCACCAAACGAAACACCCCACGAAACACTCCACGAAACATCCCACGAACCACCCCACGAAATAGACGTGCCAACAATGCGCGGTCCTGCGCCGCGTTGTGCCTTGCTGCCGAGCTCAAGTTCCGACTCAGTTATGAAACGGGACGAACCGAGAGGGTGCGAATCCAAAGAAAGACGGAACGCACCGAGCAAGGACGGACCGAAACGCGGCACACCGAGACACGACGAACTGAGACAGGACGAACCGAAGCAGTACCGACCGAGACGAGGTCCAAAATCACGCTTCGCCACCGCTCCTCCAGCTGTCACGACCCATCAGGAAAATTACGCTGCGTCCGCATTCCTAGAGCCACGAACCTTAACAATTCACACTGCGCCCGCGCTCCAAGGGCCCCGATCCCTCGTAGGTTACAATGGGGTCGCGCTCCCAGGGGTCCGACCCCTTGTAAATTACGCTGCGCCCGCACTCCAAGGGCCACGATCCCAAGTAATTTACGCTGCGTCCGCGCTCACAGGGCCACGTTCCTTTGCAAATTACGCAGGGTCCGCGCTCCCCCTTCCCCTTCCCCCCCCTCAAAAAAAAAACCTCCCCCCCCTCCCCCTCCCCCCCCCCCCCTCAGGAGCCGCGATCCTCGTGAGGGGTGTAGAATTTTAGCCTTCCCAGGAGTCGATCTTGGACGCTCTAACTACCCGCGGCCTGCCCCTGTCCAGGTCGGTGGGTGGGTGTAGGGGGGGGGTAGGGGGAGGGGTTCCCCCCCCTCCGAAGGGGAAGAAGGAGGGGTGGAAGAGGAAACGCTTTAAACCACCGACGCCCAGAGGGCTGGTGGGATTCATCTTGATGACGTTGTCATTTTCGGTGGTTCGGCAGGTATGGCCATCGCATGTGTCCAAGATCGAGCCAACGTGTTCCTCATTGTTCAGGAAATGAATCCGACTGGCAGGAGAACGCAGTCATGTGTGTGGTACACGTTGCTTGACAGCCTTTCTGATGTAGGTTTGCGTCATGCGTTCGCGGCCAGCGTGCGGTACGAATCAGACGGCGTGTACGCCGTGCTCAAGTGAAACAGAACACGTGCTCAAGTGAAACAGAACACACCCCAAGCATCCATCAATCCAGCCATCCATCCTCGTCCTCCCCCTCCTCCTCCTCCTCCTCCTCCTCCTCCTCCTCCTCCCCCTCCTCCTCCTCCTCCTCCTCCTCCTCCTCCTCCCCCTCCACCTCCTCCTCCTCCTCCTCATCATCATCATCATCACCATCCTTCTTACCCCCCCCCCTCTCCTCCATCCCCCTCCTCCTCCTCCACCTCCTCCTCCTCCCCCTCCTCCTCCTCCTCCTCGTCCTCCTCCTCCGTCCTCCTCTCCTTCCTCCTCCTTCTTGACCCCCCGCCCCCCCCCCCCCCCCCTCCCCTCCTCCATCTGTCGCAAGCGGATCGCCCGCCGCGCCATCCATCGCCAGCGGGTCGTCCGCTACGTCATCCATCACCAGCGGGTCGCCCACTACATCATCCATGAGCAACGCGCTATGTCCCCACGACGCCCCCCGAACAGTGATCTACAAGTTACCTGCAAGTAACATAAGTAATGTATAAGTACAAGAAGTATCTGGATGCACGCGCGCTGCATGTGCACCACATCAAGATGTGTTCCCACTGTCTGCCAAAGTTACATCCACGCACACACGCATAACTTGCAACGCATATCACGCAACAACATCAGATGTGGCACCTAAACTGCACTTCGCACAGAACAACTCAACATGAAGGCTGCTACAGTTAACTTGTTCCACGTCTACTTACCCATCTATGGCCAACTGTATCAGGGGGCCCCAGGAGGCCCCCAGGAAGCCCAAAAGAGGCCCCAAGAGGCCCCATAAGTTCAAAAATGCCTCCCAGGCGACCCCGAACGGCTTCTCAAAAGACCCCAAGAGGCCTCCCAAAGAAGCATCTTGACGACCCTGTTTGGCCCCAAGAGCAACACAAGATGCCAGCGAGAGGCTTCCTCCTCCGCCCCTTCCCATTCCTCCTCCTCCTCCTACTTATTATCTTCATCCTTCTCCTCTCCTTCTCATCTTCTCCTCCTCCCCCCCTCCCCCCCCCATCCTCGTCCCCCTCCTCCTCGGCGGCGCCACAGTGGCCCCGGGCCCGCGGCGAAGCAGCAGCGATCGTGCAACATGGGCCGGCGGAGTGAGCGACGCGATTGAATAAAATGCAAGTCCCCCGCAAGACTGACATCCGCAAAACTTCCCATCTGAATAATCAGCGTCTTGTTATAAACGATGGATCCTAAAAAATATTTCTCAGTGCTAGGACGAGCTCGAACTTCAGCAGAGGTTGAGACAAAGCTTGCGCCTGGTAACTCACCAATGATTTTCAACTCAAGGGCACTGATGCTCGCTTCCCCAACGAGGAGTGGACGGACCTATACGCTCACTCGATTCGGAGGGTACAAATCGTCATCGTCCCAATGGACAACGATTGAACCTCGCGCTGCTGTGAGCCCCATATTGCGCTTGGCACCAATGGACAGGCGGGTCGCCGATCGCACTAAGGTCACAGGCGCGCTCATGAAAGACAAGCCTGATGCGCCGATGTTCAAGTCTGGCCGCAACACCACTTCAATGGACGGCGTCCCGTCGTCGACAAGCACGACCTCAATGTTGGGATAGTCCTGAGCACTGATCTGCCGCAAAGCAAGTGTCACGAATGCAGGCTGGTTAAAAGTTAAAACCATGATAGACACCAAGGGATTTCCCTCGTCCTGGGCTTGACTTCCCATGCCAGGGTAATGTGAACCAATCCGAACCTTCTGCCCGGAAACCTAAAGCAAGCTCGGACCCTCGCTGTCGCCGCTGTCATGGTGAACTGATGCGTCGCATGCCGCTGGGGCACCTGTCACCGTGTGCGCCAGCAACGTCGCGATACATAGCAAGACCTTAGACCTGCGCGGCATGACCTCGTAAAGCGTACGACGTTCAGCCTGTCGGATTGTTCGGTTGCGAAGTCCTGCGCATAAAAATGCTTGAGCCAAAACGACTACGGATGATGATGATGATGATGATGATGATGATGATGATGATGATGATGATGATGACGAGGATGATTCCAGGATGATGATGATGACGATGATGATGATGAGGATGATGAGGAAGATGATGAAGATGATGATGATGATGATGCTGCTGATGATCACGATTCCAGATTATTTGTTTCTGCACGGGTGTTGACGCAGCTTGGCAGAACGGACCAGCCTTTCGCCCATGGACGAAACGAGGCGACTCCCCAGGCGAACTCGATATACTCAGACCTCCAACGTCTGGAACGGAAGGAGGAGAAACGGCATACAATAGGGGCCCGTTCACAAGAAACCTTTTTCACAAGAAACCCAACCTTGAGACCATCGATTTTTGGTGTGGGAACGTCACGCTTTCCATGGCGAAACCATCGAAACCCAAGAAACCCAAGGCACCATGGAGGCAAGCAAGGTGTTTCTTGGCATGGGCCTCCACTGTAAACGATCCGCGCGGATTTCGTGGACCTCTGCACTGGATCTTCCTGGGGGCGCCTCGGGCGCCGCACCTGAAGCCGCTCCGCGCGATCAAGAAATCCGCGCGGACCGTCACAAGTTCATATGTCTGTGCAATTGTTGTTGTTGTTGTTGCTGCTACTGCTGCTGAGTTTACATTTTTCAAAAATATAGCAAAAAAAAGAAAAAAAGAAAAATAATAATACTTAATAAAAATGAAAAAAAGAAAAAAAAAAAACAACAAAAAAAAAAAAAAGAACAAAGCCCGCCCGACCTGCCCGTCGGGTTCTGCCCCGTGTTTACTGTTCCTCGCCCCCTCTCCTGCTGCTCTCTCTCTCTCTCTCGTGCTCCATCTTTCTCCCTAACTCGACACGACGCGAACCTGCCGTCCGGTCATCGTGCAACCACGAGGAAGACCACACAAGGAACGAAAGGGCTCTCCCGACCTCGGCGGGCATCGGCGACAGAGAGGCCTCCCCTCCTGAAGCCTAAGTGGTTCTTGGCTCAACATCTTGACTGTGTGCAGAAGGAGCAGCAACACCAAGGACCCCCACTCCATTGGGAGGGGACCAGAGTCGAGAGGGGCAAGGGCATCAGGCACAGGGGGCCTTTTTTTTCTGCAGACGTGTCAGACGAAACCACCCACGTGCAGACGTGTCAGACGATTCATTATGCTATTAGGGTTAGGGGCTGTATTCTGCTTACTGACAGAAGGCTGCAGAAAATCTGGCCGATGGACATCAAAACAAGCGGCACCACACCACCTATGGGCCCACGGGGCTTAGCGTATACCGAGAGATCCGGCGTGGCTGTTTGCGTGGTATACGCTGCGGCGCCCGAGTGGCCAAAGCGCAACATGGAAGGCCGTAGGTGGAAAACCACCAGGTACCGATACCGCTACTCCCTGGACCTCTCCTGGGGTGCGTTCTGACCAGAATTGCGAAGCGAATCCAGCGGTGGCGACGAGGGTCGCCCAAGAGGCCCCAAAAAGGGGAAAACGGAGGCACGGTGGCGGTATGGGTACCCTTTCCATCCTCTGAGTGGGTGGGGTGGTGTCGTCCGTCTTCTGGTCGAGCCGAGTCCGTCGGCAGGCCGTGGAAGTCTGCAGAAAGGAGCGCCCCAGCGCCCCCCCGCGCAGCCCGCGCCCGCCGAGCGTCCCCCGGAGAGGAGCCGCCTGCTCGTGGTTTTTTCCGAGGCTCTCCAGCGTGCAGGAGCTGAAGGGGGTCCTCGGCCAGACCTTCAAGGAGTTGGCGTCCCTGCGCGCGGGGGGGGCGGCGGAGGAGGGAGGCGTAGGGAGGGGGGAGGGGGGGGGAGGGAGTAGGGAGTAGGGAGGAGGGGGGGAGGAGGAGGAGGAGGAGGAGGAGGAGGAGGAGGAGGAGGAGGAGGAGGAGGAGGAGGAGGAGGAGGAAGAGAAAGAGGAAGAGGAGGAGGAGGAGGAGGGAGGGAGGGAGGGAGGGAGGGAGGGAGGGAGGAGGAGAGAGGAGGGGGCAGGACAGACACATCGAAAATGGCGCAAACTTTTTGGAGGCCCGCGCAGACTTCTTGGAACGGCGATGGCCACCCCGCGCCGCCAAGGGGTCCAACGCCGATCCGAGAAATCCGCGCGGCTTGTTCGTGCTTGTTCTCGAGAGGAGGGGGTGATGGGGGAACGATCGAGGGGGGACCAGCGTGGGAAGCGCCGAGCTTGCATCGGCGACGCATCGCCGACATATCAGATGGCCGATGGGCCCCCAGAAGAACATCCCTCAAAAACACGAGAGCCTCCGCCGACCAAAACACGCAGGACATCCAAGGGCACCCGCCCCAGGATGCACAAGAACATACCGCAAACGCGAAGAACTTCCAGCAAGGGGTTCCTCGGCGGGGCCTGCAGGGAGTTGGCGTCCCTGCGCGGGGGGGGCGGTGGAGGAGGGGGAGGCGGGACGAATATTGAGGAGGAAGAGGAGGAGGAGGAGGAGGAGGAGGAGGAGGAGGAGGAGGAGGAGGAGGAGGAGGGAGGGAGGAGTAGGGATGAGGAGGGGGAGGATGAGAAGGAGGAGGAGGAGGAGGAGGAGAAGGAGGAGGAGGAGGAGGAGGAGGAAGACGAAGAGGAGGAGAAGGAGGAGGAGGAGGAGGAGGAGGAGGAAGAAAGGGGAATAAAAGAAAAAAAAAAAAAAAAGAAAAAAAGAGGGCAGAGGGAGAAGGGGAGAGAGAAGGGACGACTGTAGCCATACCAAGGTTCCCCTCCCGGGCAGGGTGGCTATTTAACGCCGAAGGGGGGATAGGCGCGACTCGATCCCAGCGCTTTCACCCGAAAGAAGATGAGCGCCACCTAGCCCCTCCGCTCCCCCCGCCAGACGGCGGGATGGGTATGAATAGCTCGCCCGAATAGGGGAGGGACAGAGGCGGGCCGCAGACAGAAGCAAGAAAGATAACACGTCCCTGATGATATATTATATATATATATAATATAATATATATATATATATATATATTCAAGGCTGCACTGGCGCTTCGCGCCGTGCATCTTGTTTCGCAGCCTCTCGTCTGAAAAACATTCCACATTTTTTTCTGACTTCTGCACGTTTCCTTTCAGGAATTCGACGACTGTGGCTTCTTGAGGCTCTCTTCGGAAGCTTCTTGGGGGAGCTCGTAAAAGCCAGCAGGCCTTCTGGAAGCGATTGTGGCATTCTCGGGAGCCTGGCTTGGGCCTCTCAGGGGGGGCTGGAGCCTGTTGGGGGCCCCTGTGGGAGTCCTTGGGGCCTTTCGGCGACAGTTTTGGAGCTTCTTTTGGCTGCCTTGGGCGTCTCCTGCGTCGCTTTGGGACCCTCCTGGACCGTCGTCGGAGCCTCTCGGGCCCGGTTGGAACAGTTAGGGGGCGTCTTGGTCCGTGTTTGAATCCCGGAAGGCGCAAAACCCGTACCTGTTAGAGATCTGTGTTTCTCCATCGGAATTCGACGCTTTTGGCCTCTTGGGGCTCCCTTCGGAAGCCTCTGGTGGGTTCCTCGGGCCGCTTTGCTGCGAACCCGGGCTCCCTCAACGACCGGGTCACGATGTGGATTGATTTGGGGAGCGTCCTGGAGCCGTCCCGGGCCGTCATGGGCATCTCTTGGAGCCATATCAAGGCCCTGTTGGGCCATCTTGGCGCTCGCTTGGACTGTCCGGAGGCCGGTCTGGTTGGGTTTGGGATTTTTTTCCGTGCCTCTCGGGCGGTCTCGGACGCCCGGAAGACCGAAGAACCGAGGTTCCAAGAATCTCTGAACAACTATGCGAAAATCAATGTTTTTTGTCGCATCGAGGTGCACATCGGAGTGCTCTTTGGGCCGTCTTCGAGTGCACGGTGGGTTCTTAGAGCCGCTTGGGGCCTTCGCAGGGCCGTTTTGCCACCCTCCTGGCCGCTTTGGGCCCGCTGGCTAGGCCCGGCAAGGGCGTCCAGGTGGACCGGAGGCCCAGGGGACCCCTTGCAAGAGCGTCCAGGGGGGTCCTAAAATCTCCAGATCCCGGGGGTACGGATTTACCGGGGGGGGGGGGTCACACCCCCCCGGGTTGTAAAAATATAGAAAAGGGAATATATTTATTCTTATATATATATATTTATATATATGTATATATATACATACATACATACATACATACATACATACATACATACATACATACATACATACATACATACATACATACATACATACATATATACATACATACATACATACATACATACATACATACATACATACATACATACATACATACATACATACATATATATATAGAGAGAGAGAGAGACAGAGAGAGAGAAAAACAACAAAAAGAGAGAGAGAGAGAGAGAGAGAGAAAGAAAGACAGAGAAAGAGAAACAGAGAACACTCAAACAAAGAAAACGATACACATATATATATATGTATATATATGCGCATATATATATATATATGGCATATATATATAATATTATATATTATATATATATTATATATATAGATTATATATATATATATATAAAAACCCAAAAAAAACAAACAAGCGGCACACACAAACTTTGACGGTCCGCGCGAACTTCTTGGATCTGCGCTTGACCCCCCTCGGCTGCGCCTCTGGCGCCGCCCTTTGCGCGCTCCTCGCACCCAGGAGAGGGGGTCCAATGCGGATCTAAGAAATCGACGCGGACTGTCAATGGTTATGTTTATGCCGTCTCCCTCCTTCGGGGAGCAGGCTCGCCGGGAGAGGGCAGGAGGCGGGCCAGTGAGCAAAAGCAGGGAGAGAGACTGACGTCCATCCCACCACTACATACGTCATCACAAGCTGAACGGATAGAAGCGCACTGCACAAGCGAGACACGCGTGCCTGGGCGTGCTGGTGCATCCTGGGTGAGCACGGAGCACAGAGGCGACGCAGGAGGGGGGGGGCGGGGGGGGAGAGAACGAGGGCGGAGGAGGACCGAAGAGGTGGAGGAGGGAGGAAGGATGAGTAGGAGTGCGGGGGAAGGAGGAGGAGGAGGAGGATGGAAGAGGATGGGGACACCCGACCGCCCCCAGCATCGAGGCGTCGAAGTGGAGGTTACAAACACCCCACCGAGCCCCCCGAGCGCGGGATGGTCTGGCGAGGCGGGGGGGTCCTCCTCCTCTATTCCTTCTCCTTATGAACAACTCCTCACTGTCGCACCCCGAGGCCAGAGGGAATGGCGGGCCGGGCGTTGCGCCTGAGACGTCCTCACCGTTTACGATCCCGAGGCTTACAACATGGATCCTCACAGTTTCACGGATTCTCACAGTTTCACGGATGGAGGGCGGGTCGCTTTCAAACTATGGCTCTTGTCTTAGCGCCGCGTACACCCGTCTGAAAAACTCGCAAGCGTTTCACGGACTGGGGACAAGTCGGTTTCAACATGTGGCTCTCGCCTTATCTCCGCGCACATCCGTCTTACAAGTGTGCACGAGTTTCGCGGGCCGAGGCAAAATCATGTTGCTCCAGCCTTAGCACCGCACGCAATCGCCTCAACAATTTGCAAGAGCTTCGCGGATGGAGGGCGGGTCGTTTTCAAAATGTGGCTCTCATCGTAGCGCCGCACACAATCGTCATAACAAGATGCAGAAGTTAGGGAGCCCACAAAGGACGTACGCGCCTAGCTATGTGCATGAACGCGGCCCCTCGATTCGCGAGACGGGCCGCATTATACGAACATTTGTGCAATGCGTGCTCTCGAAACCAGCGTGGATCCATGTACATGTACGTCCTTCTTTCGCCCCTGAGAAGTTTCACGGATGGAGGGCGGGTAATTTTCAAAATGCAGCTCTCGCGCGCCGCGCACGGTCGTCATAACACATGCAACAATTGAACGGATGGAGGGCTGCGCTCCTTTTCAAAAGGTGGCTCTCGCCTTAGCGCCGCGCATATCCGTTTTGAGAGTTGACAACCGGCTCAAGGGTTCTCACGGTAACCGTCCCGGGAATAATGTTCTGGCATGATGTCGGACTGTCAGGGCGCACCAGTTACGTTGATTCGTGGTGTTGAAGTCCCAGGCATGGTTTTCTGGCGCGGTTCAGGATCGCCAAGACGCAACAATACTGGCGACTCGCGACGTTGAAGACCCATGAATGGTGTTCTGGCACCGTTCCGGAATTTCAAACGGTTATTCTCCAACGGGGCACTTCCTCCATTGAAAACGAATCCTTGCAGGGGCCTGTGAGGAGGGAGCCTGGAGGGAAGGTGTATTGCAATATCTCTGATGGGCCTTGGGTTCACACTGGCCTCCTCCTCCTCCTCCTGCTCCTCCTCCCTCTCTTTTATGGCCACCTCCTCCCTCCACCGTCACTCTTCCCCCTCCCTTCCTCCGCATTTGGCTTCCGCCCCTTCTCCCCCCCTTCCTCCCCTCTGCGGGGCGCGGCTGCCTGGACCGCTGCAGCCACGGGTGCCGCAGGCACTGCCCCGCAGTGGGGCGGTCCTCGGGCCTCGCGCGGGGGGGGGGCGCCCTGGGCGACCACAAGAGCGACGGCGGCCGCCTTCCTCTCTCGTCTCCGCCCTCGTGCCGCACCCAGACTGACGAGAGAACTAACCCAGTTGGTACTTGTCTTGGTGCCCCTGGTCTCCCAGCTGTGTCTCCTGACCTTGATCTCCCAATTGAATGTCACTCTCTTGGTCTGCCGATCGTCCCTCCCTCTCTGGGCTTCCCCCGCCTCGCCCTGGCCGTCGCAGTCCCGGGCGACGACAGCGGCGGCCGCTTTGGCGCTACTCCTTCCTCCGCCCTCCTCCTGCCTCCTGCCACGCCCTCCCACTCGAAAGTTCTTTTTCAATTATCCGCCCGCAGTGGATGTCACACTCTTGCTCAAACGTGTGGGCTAAATCATTAGCGCCAATCTGGAATGGGTGCGGAAAAAAGGTACGATGCCTAACAACAAACGCTGTCCCAAATCCCAACCCGACAGCGGCCGCTATTGGGCAGGCGGCCTTCTGACTCAACTGTACAACGTGCGACGGCGACAGCGAGTCTGATTCAGAATGAATCAGAACTGCTGTCGGTCTTTGTACCCGTGTTTTCCTTAAATACCTATTTCGATCGTCTTGATCAGACATGTGGCTAAATTGTTACAACCAGTCAAGCACATCCCGTCAGACAAAGACTACGACCCCTGGGCACCAGTTCAGAAAAGGCGGAGCCTCACGCACCTCATAAGCACCAGGGCCCGCCACCGCTATGGCTGTACGATCCGACAGTCTGGTAGCATTCTCCTCCTCTCCCCCCGCCTCCTCCTCCTCGCTCAGATTCCTCTCTTCCCTCCTCATCCTCCCCCTCCTTCTCGTCCTTCCCTTCTTATTATCATTCTTCCTCCTCCTCCTCATCCTCCTCCTCCTCCTCGTCCTCGTCCTCGTCCTCGTCCTCCTCCTTCTCCTCCTCCGCCTTCCTCCCCCTCACCCTCCTGCCCTCCCTCCCCGCCCACCTGGACTCCTGATCCGTGGACCACAAGGTTAAGAGCGCCCTTCTGGCCTGGCCAGGACGCCACTCCCGGGCCAGGACCTGGCACGGTCGGGGCCGGCGTGCAGGTGGGCGGCGAGCGTCTCTGAACCGGCCCAGCACGCAAGGGGCCCAGACCCCCTCGCGTCGCGAAAAAATCACGACGGGAGGTTTTTGACTATTTTCGCCTCCAGAGGTCCTCGCCGGGCCTCGGGGCCGTCAAAAAACGACTCGGGATGCAAAACCGGTCCCTGCGAAAGGGTCCAGACCTCTGGGGGTCGACGTTGCGAACAAATCACGACGTCGGGAGTCGGGGGGCCAGGGCCGCGAACGGCAGAGGCAGATCATCGGCAGCGCGCCCAGGGGTCAAACCTTCTCAGAAGGCGGTGGGGCTTCTCAGGCGCCCTCTGGCATGCCGAGAGGCACTCCGTGCTCTCGGGGAAGGCGTACGTAGAAAACTTCTCGCAAGACCCCGGTGGTTCCGAACCTTCTGAGGAGGCCCGCCAAGAGGCCCCCAAGAAAGCCCAGGAGACTTGTAAGACGTCCAAGATGGCCTCCAAGACGGCACTGGAGCATTCCAAGAGGACCCCAAGTCGGCCACCCAAACGGCTTCCGACGTCGTCGGACGGGCCAGGAGCCCACCAAAAACGGCCGAAGATGGCCCTAAGATGGCCCAAGATGGCCCAAGAGGCTTCCAAGAGGGCCTCCAGGAAGGGCCGAAAAAGCTAAAATCATTGATTTCCCATGAGTTTTTGAAGGATTGTGGCATTTGCTTTTCTTCTGCCTTCCGACGGCCCGAGACAGCCTAAGTGCCCCCAAAGATCGCACAAGAGGCCCAAGACGGCCCCAAGAGGCCGCCAAGACAGCCCAAGAGGCCTCCAAGACGCTTCAGATGGCATCCAAGACGGCCCAAGAGCCCTCCAAGACGTCCTCCAAGAAGGCCCGAAAGAGTCAAAATGGCTTCCAGACGGCCAAGATGACCTTCAAGATACCCACGTGTTTCCCGAAGGCTTTCCAAACCGATTCGGGGACCACATGGTCCGATAGCTTGGCAGGTCTGGCCTCAACGTTCGGCCACATAGGCGCTTCCAAAAAGGCAGGGGGCGGCGGTGATTCGCCGTAGGCGTCTTCGATAACGCCAACGTCTCGATAAGCGCTGATGATTCCTATCCGCCCCCGTATGATATTCCCAGATGCGCCAAGGCTGCGCCGAGACGCACCGACGCGACTCCTGTATACATATATATATACACACACATCCCAGTCTGATAGAGACGGGGCTGGCGGCAAGGGGCGAAGCCCTTACGTATAATGCAGATGTTTAAACTCAAGGGAATGAAGAAGCGGCAACTGATTAGGCTGGCACAAGTAGTACTGGCTGGCCTCCTCAGTGCTACAAATAAAGATACGTTGGGACAAATAAAGCAACACTTGTGAGATGGTATGTTCGACGCTCGTAGCAATAATGAGGCTACAACCTAAGGCTTTATCGTTTCGCCCCTAGCCTCCTTGGTGATGGGACCCGCGTGTTTGTTGCAACCTGTTTGTTCGGATTCAGCGCGAACCCTGTTGCGGGTGATAAAAGAAAAAGAGTAAAGCAGAAAACTGGTAAGAAGGTAGAGGAGTAGACGCGGGTGGACATCAGCAGCAGGAGAAGGAACGGACACCGTAAAGAGGACGCGACGTGCAAACGCCTGTAAGTTGAGGCGGGAGGAGTTTGGGGCAGCGCAGTCCATGTGGACATTGACGCTCTGGGAGTATCCGTTGCAGACGATGCGAGGTCATAGACAGAGGAAAGCGAACTGTGCACACACACCGATTCTGGCCAGGACCATCCTGAGCCCAGGATCGGTGCATACGCCCTCTTACCTTGGCCAGGAAGGTATATGCACCGATCCTGGGTCAAGGATGGGCGTTGTCAGGATCGGTGCATGTGCATAGTTCTCTTCGCCCGAATAGACTAGCCCGAGCATGGTCCTTCTGCACTGTGCGTCGGAAGGCTTGGCTTCGGTGCCGGTGGCGCTTCGTGCTCGGCCGTCCGAGACTTGGGTCTGGACACGGGAGGAGCCTTGAGCGCTGTAGTGATCTCGTCGCGGTGTTGAGTATCCCGGAGTCGTGAGCTGCATCTGTCCACCTCTTCGAAGTTTTGTTGATCGCGTCGCTGGTGGTCGCGAACTGCGTCCCGGCAGTATAGTAGCTGATTGTCATCGGTGCCGTCAACGTGCTGTGTGTCAAACCATCCGTTGCATGCTGGCACCTGTGTGGAGCCTGTTTGACCGTCAGGCATGTCAGGTGGAACTTTCGGGCGAAGTAGCTGTGTGCGGTGTGCGTTTATATGATGGAAAGTCGATGAGCCACCTTTGTGCAGGCGCAGCTTTTGGTGGTGGGATATCACTGTTATCCTCAACTGCGGTGGTGGTGGGTGTATTGGGCTGCGGATGGGCCATGTTGTCAGTACTGGCCTGTGTTGTTGGAGTCGATGTGCTGGCTGGGTGCTGGTTGGTCGTAGGTATGTCCACTGGTTGGGTCCTCCTCCTCCTCCTCGTTCTTCTCCTGGCTTTTCTTCTTATTCTTCTTCTTTCGAAGTATGATCCTCCTAATGTCAGTCTCCCTCCTCATGCCCATGACCTCCTCCTCCTCCTCCTCCTCCTCCTCCTCCTCCTCCTCCTCCTCCTCTCCTCCGCCCGCAGGGCATGATTATCCTCCCCTCCTCCTCCTCCTCCTCCTCCTCCTCCTCCTCCTCCTCCTCCTCCTCCTCCTCCTCCTCCTCCTCCTCCTCCTCTCCCTCCTCCTTCTCCTCCTCCTCATCCTCCTCCTCCTCCCTCCTCCTCCTCCTCCCTTTTCTTCCCCCCCCCCACCCCCCTCCTCTCCCCCCTCCTCCCCCTCCTCCCCCTCCTCCCCCCCTTACCCGTGCCCCTCCTCCTCGTGCTCCTCCACCCGCCCCGCGGCGGCGCGCCCCCCGCCGCTGCCGCGCGCGCGGCGTGCCGGCTGCGCTCTCCGGCGCCCCCGCCTCCTCTCGTCTGCCGTCCGCCCTGGCGCGCGGCGGCCCCGCGCCGCCCCCCGCTCGGCGGGCAGAGTGGCAGCCAGACGAGGCCCCCTCGGCGCCCGCCCGGGGTCGCCTGCACGCCAGACCCAGACGTCGGGCGTCTCGAAAAAATCGAGACGGAGGTTTTTCGTAGTCTTCGGCCTCTCGGGGCCCTCGCCGGGCCTCGGGACCGTTAAAAAACGGCTCGGGATGAAAAACCGGTCCCGGGGAAGTGGTCGGGAGGTCGGGGGCCCGAGTTTCGAACAAATCGAGACGTCGGATGTCTGGGGAGTGACCCTGGGCAAGAGTGACCTCTGGTGCGCGGCTCTTTGGGGGGCCGCGGGGGGGGACCCAAAACGAGCGCGCGAGGCGCAACGGTCGCATCGCAATCGGTGATCGGGGGACCCCATTGGACTCGCACCAAAGGTCACTCCGGCGAACCCAGACATCCGACGTCTCGATTTTTTCGAAACTCGCCCCCCGACCTCCCGACCACTTCCCCGGGACCGGTTTTTCATCCCGAGTCGTTTTTTAACGGTCCCGAGGCCCGGCGAGGGCCCCGAGAGGCCGAAAACTAATTATGAGAAACCTCCGTCTCGATTTTTTCGAGACGCCCGACGTCTGGGAAAGGTCACTCTTACGTGTAGTCGACTGGGGCGCTCCCGCCGCGCCGCGGCGATCGCGGGGGCCCCGGCGCGCGCGGCCGCCCGCTCGGGCGCGAGCAGCGCAAAAATGCAGGGAGACGGGGCGGGCGCCCCTCCAGCCAACCACCCTGGGGAGGAGGAGGAGGAGGAGGAGGAGGAGGAGGAGGAGGAGGAGGAGGAGGAGGAGGAGGAGGAGGAGGAGGAGGAGGAGATGATGGGGCGACTCCCAGGAGGACAGTCCTCTGAGAGAGGGTCCAGCCCGCAAAACTTGTTGGGCGGGTGCCCCATCAGGGGGAGATTTTGTGAGGCCGAGCGTGGTGACAAAGCCACGCACGGCGCTCGCGACAGGTGTACCCGCTGCGAAACCTCAAACCTGGCGACTATTCTCGCGGGCTCGAACTCGCTCCATCAAGCGAGCCATTCGAGCTTCATACGAGATGGCACTGTCGACCGAGTACTCAACAACTGAAGTCGTCGCTCTGACATCCCTCGCACTAGCCACTGTGAGGCCGACGCGTGGGGCGCTCGGTCGATCAATGCACGAATTCGGGGATTCGGGGCAAGCCCTCTCCGAAAACGCGACAAAATCATTTTACCAGTGCAGGTGGAGGGGGGCACAGGGCTTGCTCAACTTAATGGCCTTTTCCTGGCTCCAACCTCCACACTTCAGACACAACAGGGATCCCCGTCGAGCCTCAGTGCTCTCTTCCTCGGCACGGCACCGCACAGCACGCAACGGAGCAAGACGAGAGCCACTGACGGCGACGAGCTGATGTCCCATCGAGTCAACCGTGAGAGGCTTCAAAAACGACGGGGTCCCAATACAACCATTCAACGGCAAGTTACGACACGATGGCGCAACTTTGAAACAGACTTCGCACTGCCAGCCGAGCTCCCCCAGACCCCAAGCGTGCCACCCCTCCCCCCGAGAGTTCCTCTGTCGGCACAGTGCTGTGGGTCTCCGCCACCGCTGCGGCCTCTCCTCGAGAAAGCACGGGAGGACGGCAGCAGCCAACGCCACAAAATCGGCAGCCCGACTCCTCGCGAGATCAAGCTTGGCCAAAAACTCTGGCGATGGAGCAGGGTGTAAACTGGCGGCAAATTTAGCATGGTGATCGGCGAAACGGTTCGCTTCGGCCCAGTGGCGCCCCTCGCCCGACAGACTGTCAATCTGCTCCTGGGACCGACGAGCCTTGACGTGCCGAACCGAGATGAATTGGTGGCCTTCCAGGCCACGACAGAACTTCAGAAAGCCAGCTGCCTGGTTGGACGCGCGCAGCTGAAATTGAACAGGCTGCTGGAATCGCCGAATCGCAGGGTGTAATACAGTCGCTGCCAGCCAGGGTCTCGCGGTCGGCGATCTGGCCAATCAAACAAAGCGCAACACTTTCGGCGATGCTCGGCGTTTGCGGGAGGTTGCCAGCAACAGGGCCTCGAATTACTGCCACGGGCACATTAGACCCAGGAGACAGCACTGCAATTGCCCACGACGCGCGCTCAAGCTCCACTAAGCCTGGCCGTGTGCAGGAGCCGTCGGGGGCTACGTCCAATCGAGGGCCCTGAACGAGAGACGCCACCCCCTCAACCTCAACCGCCAACTCCTCCCCCTCAGGGCCCTCGAGGACCACTTTATCCGAGCAGGAAGGGGGAGGAATCCCCCCCTCGTCATACAGGAGAACTCCTTGCACAAAGATGGGATCATCAGACTCGATACCTGCACTGATGAAAAGCGGGCTGACTTTAGCCTCAGTGCGGGCGGCGACGACGGCAGGCAGCATGCATTCATACAAACAGTGCTTGATTGTCTGCCTCTGGCCGCACGCACAAGGGCCATCGCACATGTAGCCAGCAGCCTGGGCGCGGGCCTTGGTCCAGACTCGCGGCATGAGCAGCTCCCAACAAGCAACTTCTGCTGACTAGAGAGCCGTCGAGACCGACCGCCGACCGACGACCGAACGAAGTCAAGCAAGGCCCTGTAGCCTGTCGGAACTCCCAGCTGCATGGCCAAAGCCCTCTCGTGCTGACGCTGAATTCCACCAAACATGAGAGTTGAACGCATACCCGGAGGCGTTCTGCGAACGTCGATTGTCGCACCTCGATGGCCCATCCAGCTCATCGCAGACAAGACTCGCCAGCCCGCACGCTGCGCAGCTAGCGCAGCTCGAGACAAGGGGGCACGACTATATGCCCAGTCGGTGACCTGAGAAGGCTTGGCTTCACGCCATAGCCTCAACAAACGAGCACGCACAGCGAGCGGGTGTCTGCAGACCTTCGATTGCCACAACAGTCTGCACCACTGGATGGCAGGCGCAATGGCGGATGCAGCGGCGCCATCACCGAGCAAGACAGTCTTGCTCGGAAGGCTCACACCACCATGCAGAGGAAGTTGGCCTCGAGCGACATCACGCCTGCACCTCAGCCACTCCGAGTTGCTGAGCCCGACGACCTCACTGCCGTAGGTGGCCTCGGGCAAGGCGCCAGCGCGGATGGCACGGCCGATAGACTGCGCCTTGTGGCCAGTGATGGCCTTGCCGAAGCGCCTGATCTTCCGCGTGCGCCTCAGCATATGCACCTTACGCTTGGCGCGCTTGGTGAGCACGCCCTGGTCGGCCCCCCTGCTGCCCTCGCTGACGTCGACGCCGACATAGACCACGCTGCGCCTCGCAACAGAGGCAGGTAGGCCGAGCCTGGACACGATGCCCTGCGCAAGGGAGAGGGTGGTGCCGACAATCACTAGCTTGTTGTTGATGATCGCGTCGAGCTCAGTGACAGTCTCCCTGAACTCCAGCATTGCGTTGACCACCATGGAAGTAGTCGTGCTCACCGTGGTAGACGATACCCGAATCGAGTTGTCGTCAATGTAGCTCACAAACTGAATGAACTGCTGCCTGACAAGGAAGCTGTCATACTCCCTCACAAACCATACCTTGATCGAGAAATCACAAACACACATCTCCAGCAGGGAGACCGCATTCGGCACAAAGGGCCTGCTCCGCAGGATGACCAGCTAACCCCAGCACACGTGGCGCACGCCACATGTTGTACACCAACTTCAGGAAGGCCGTGGGCGCGATGAAACTGATGTACTTGTCGCGCAGATTGGTCAAAGGAATGCGCTCGTAGAACTTACTGAAATCGGCAACTGCGAGTGCGCCGTGGTAGGCCTGCTTGCTGTCGGCCTCACCCTCGGTCGCCTGAAGCCACGCGCAGTCGACGGAGGACCGCCCACGAGCAGCACCCCAGTACGGCCTGTCAATCTGGCCTGCAGCTCTCGAAGCACTGGCCGCCGCGTCCGCTGCCAAATCCTGTAGAGCCCAGCGTGGAGTACCACCAACCGATTGCCAGAACCAGACGTCTTGGGTAGCATCGGTGTGGTCAACCAGCACAACTGCCTCGGCGGTAGTCCCAAAGACTCCATCGCCTTGAACATCAGGGCGACCACCTCGAGGGCCTGATCCTCCAAGAGAAGGAAGTGACGCGGATGAAAATGATCAGGCGCTGCCGTGGTGTTGTGCGAGAACGATCGCGCAACTGCACGTAGCTCGCCAGGATTCACCTTCGGCAACGCCGTTCGGTCAGGAATCCATGCTGGCACTGGGCGGGAACTGGACCACCACCTCTTGTACAACTCCACTTCGTGCCGAACAACATCGCGCGCGTGGGCCAACGCACCGTGGGCCGTTGGGACCACCGTGGGCTGAGCAACGTCGCGGTACTTCGTAGCGCGGTGGAGGACGCGTCAGCCATTGGAAACAGCTATGGCGCACCACTCCTTCCACTTCTGGCGGTCCTCCTGGGTAGCTCCGTTGACCGCGAGCTTGACGTCGGGCTCAATGTCCCCTAGGAACTCGCGGCATGCCTCCTCCTCGAAGCCAGCCTGCACCATGCCGCGCGCCTGCTGAACAGATCGATCGAGGCGTGCGGCAAGACCCTGCCCATGGTAGTTGGCCGTCGCGAAGTTGAGGATCTCCTCAGCAGCCAACGACAGGTCCTGCACGGACGGGTTGGCCACCGTCTTGCACTGCATGATGCTGAGGAGGGAAGACTGCAACCATTGCCAACCCTCGGCCACAGCCTGCAGGTCGGACGCGTCTTTGACCGCATAGGTGATGTCGATCCACCGGGGTTGCAAGTACCGAGCGAAACCAAACAGAACTTTGCGATCCTGATGACCCACAGCGTTCGCGATAGCCTCTGCGGCTGCGACAGCGAAGTGGCCCCGCGCCGCCGAGAGAAGGCCCCATCCAACTCCAGGGGGAGACTCAGGATCGCCACACGACTGGACAGCAGCTTCGGCAACACACCGAGCGCTAGTGTAGGTGGGCGGCTGCACTTGCGGCCCGATGATGATCTGGGTGTCCATCTTTAGCGCCGCCGTGTAGACCAGCCGCTTGACGTGCTCAGCATCACCTTTGAGGAAAATATGAACAGGCCGATGGCCTCGCTTGGCCCACTTGACATCAATGCCCACACTGGCATACATCCTCATGGCCGCTGAGTTGAGGAGGATACAATCGATAACATACTGACCTGTACCTCCTCGAAACGTGACAGAAGACGAGCTCACAATCAAACAACCAACGTGAGCGGGGAACTGGCTCGCCTCCAACTCGCCTTGGCACATGTTCCAATCACCACCAATGACGACTGGACCGTCCAGTGCCTCAGCAGCGAGGCCCAACTCTTGCAACAGCCTGCCGTTGCGGCCAGCGGCGCCCTCACCAGTGCGCAGGTACACGTTGAAGGCATGCAGGCCGACAGGCAGCTCGGGTATATCGATGAGAACATGCTGAACTCGGTTCGGGGCGACCTCATGCACACCGACGCTAGGAGGACGAAGTCCGCGACGATCGCGCACGGCAACAGCAACACCTGCCGACGGCACAGAACCAGAAGCCGGCAGGCTCGGCAACGCCATAAGCCTCCAAACCCGCACACCGCACCATGAAGCCAAAGCCCCGACGTGCTCGCTGATGTGCCCGAACTCCCGCAGCAGCGCCACGCTCGCCATCGTGCTGGCGATGCGCTTCTTGACGGACGCCTTGCCGCCGCTGGCGTTGTAGGTTTCGATGCTGAACTCAGCGCCGACCGTCGGCCTGGCCCCGCTCGGCGGCTCCCGCCCACGCCC